TGGTGTAGAGGCAGCTTTGCTCTGTATCTAACCCCACGCTGTCCCTGTATTGGGAGTAAAAGAACAAGAGAACGATACAGCCCAGGAACAGGCCCTTTGGCCCTCCAAGCCTGCGCACACACATTAGGTCCTTCCATACTAAAACTGTCTTCACTTACAGGATCTGCATCATTCTATTCCCTTCCCATTCACGTATTCATCCTGATGGTTCTTGAACGCTGCTATTGTGTCTGCTTCCACCACTTCCTCTGGCAGCGTGTTCCAGGCACTCACCACCATTTGTGTGAAAAACATGCCTCGCACATCTCTTTTAAACATCTACCCCCCACACCTTGAACCTGTGTCCCTCAGTAACTGACCCCTCTACTCTAGGGAAAAGCCTTATACTTTCCCTCTATCCATTCACAATCTTATAAACTTCTATCAGGTTTCCCCCTCAACCTCCCACGTTCCAGTGAAAACAAACCCAGTCTATCCAACCTTTCTTCATTGCTAAAATCCCCCAGACCAGGCAACATCCTGGTAAACCTTTTCCACCCTCTGCAAAGCATCCACATCCTCTGGCAGTGTGGTGACCAGAACTGTACACAATATTCCATGTGTGGTCGAACTAAAATTCTATAAAGCTGCAGTATAGATTGTTTATCCTTATACTCAGTGCCCCTTCCAATGAAGGCAAGCATGCCATAGGGCTTTTTTACTACATTATCTACCTGCACTGCTACCTTCAGTGACCTGTGGACCTGCACACCCAGATCCCTCTGCACATCAATATTTCTAAGGGTTCTGCCATTCACTGTATAATTTCCACCTGTATTTGATCTTCCAAAATGCATCACCTTACATTTGCCCGGATTAAACTGCATCTGCCATTTTTCTGCCCATGCCTCCAACTGATCTATATCCTGCTGTATCCTCTGACAATTCTCCTCACTATCCGCAACTCCACCAATCTTTGTATCGTCTGGAAACATAGTAATTAGATTGACTACATTTCCTCCAAGTCTTTTAAGTAGATCACGAACAGCAGAGGTCCCAACGCTGATCCCTGTGTTTGATAGGAACAGTGCAGAGGGTGCTTTACTGTGTATCTAACCCCGTACTCTCCCTGTGGTGGGAGTGTTTGATGGGGACAGTGTAGAGGGAGCTTTACTCTGTATCTAACCCTGTACTCTCCCTGTGGTGGGTGTATTTGATGGAGACAGTGTAGAGGGAGTTTTACTCTGTATCTAACCCCGTGCTGTCCCTGTGCTGGTAGAGTATGATGGGATACAGTGTAGTGGGAGCTTTACTCTGTATCTAACCCTGTGCTGTCCATGTGCTGGGAGTGTTTGATGGGGGACAGTGTAGAGGG